AACGGGCATGCGATGTCTGCACAGAACATATCGAACGCATACCGGCACATTCATTTCAAGCCCATCAACTGGCAAGCAAATTCCAGGGCGTGCCCTTCTTGTCAGTCTACCTGCGTCTACCCCAAATCCGTACCCTACCCTCTCCTGAACTCTACCGGCTCCCCCAAAACTGAACAGCAACCAAACAATCAAGAAACACCCTGCGCCAAACCCACCCAACTCACCCAACAAAACCACCCAAGAAACCCACCCAACAAATCCATCCAACAAACCCACTCAACCGCATGCAAAACACAACGCATCTCCCAACCCAACCCCCAAACTCCTTGAACCTCCGGAAACCCCCAATCCCCCGCAATCCCCCTCCCCCGAAACTCCCCTTCCCCCCGATCCCCCCCAGTCTAAAGTATGTTCAAATTATAACTCCAATTTTTCCTTCCCCCCTCCCTGTCCCCCCTCAAAACCCCACAAAGCAAAGAAACAAAACACGCCCCAGCAAAACTTGCTACTACTCAGTAGATGTGGGAATGAACCCAAGGGGGTCCCCTTAAAGGAAACCACCAGTTGGATGGTTCAGGGTCAAACTCCATTTCTCATGCGCCTGTCTCCAACTCCGGCTGATCCGCCCTGAGCTGCCGTTGCTTCTGCGCTGAGAGCCGCGCCAGGAATCGCCGGCCGCGCTCCTAGACTCACACCACCCAAGGCTCTCGGCTACCTATGCGGGAGACACCCCCAAAATGCCTTCGGTTTTCCTGTTGGTCTCCCTTCAAAGCGATCCCAAAAGACTGTACCCTCAAAAAAGACAAAGACACTTTTTTACGGCCCGTTGAGGATAGTTCAAGCTGTGCTGCTTTGTGCTTCCATCGACAATAGTCCACTGAGAGCAGCGCTCGCATTCAATCTGATAGTACTCCGTAAGCCTACGTGGTCCTTTGTCCAGTTGCCGAAGAACTCGAAACCTTTTGACATGTGCGGTGCTGCATCTGAGTGAATTATAATATGTCACCAACCTGAAATAAGGTGGTTGGGGGATTTATTCCGCACATAAACCACCATTTGGGGTGAGGTCGTGTGAGGTCGTTATAATTCACCCAGCTGCATCAAGTTGCAAGTTTCTCCCTCCTCAATGTTGACACACAAAGATCCAAGAGGGGCGGCGGGTTGTCACCGAGCTGGAAAGCCTTATCCGAAGGGTCACACACTGGGAAAGCTGGGCGGTCGACCGAGCAACCTGGTAAATGGTACACGTGGTGTGAAAGACAGGCGAAGCCAAACATAGTCAGACCAAAGCAAAATTATTTACAGCCACCCGACCAAAAGTTTTAGCATTTTTGGTGGGGAAGAAACGATGGGCTCCACCACACAAGTACAACCCCAAACTGAAACCTCTGCCAAACTGAACTGGAACAAACATGTCCAGTAGTGCCAGATTCCCTCTAAAAACCAGCAGGTGTTCAATCAAACATAATTATTCATTTCAGCAAATCTCGGTTGCTTTCTGCTCCCCTGCTAAAAGTTTATCTTTTAGTGGTGTAATTTGAAAAAACAAACATTAGTTGGGCTTGAAAGTTAAAGTCCCAACATCCCTTGGCAACATGCACCAAAGAAATGCCTGGCTGTCTGGTGGTTTCCCCTGCCTCAAACTTCTGCGCGAAGGCCCAGAAGCAGCGCCGCGCCAGCGCGCGCACGTCGTCCCGCGCGTCCTCCATGCCCTCGCGGATGGCCTGGGCATCGCTTTCGCTATGGGACGTGGCTCGGTGGGGAGCAACCAAAAGGCTTTCCCACTGAATGGGGGTGTTCCCTTCCAAAACAGGGGCTTATTAATAAACAGGGGTTGATTAAACAGGGGTTGAATGGCGGATTAATAAACAGGGGTTTATTCACAGGTTGCCACTGATTGGGGACTAGGAGAAATAGATGGGTTTCCCTGGTAGATGATTAAACCACCAGGTAAACCAGGGCCATCTATTTGTTCCCAACTTCATGTTGACCCCGGATTAATACACCCCTGCTAATTGAATATGGGGGTGTTCCTCTCCAAAAGTGGTCTGAATCCCCACCAAAACCGAGAACACCCCCATATTAATAAACAGGGGTTTATTAATCTGGGGTCAACATTAGGGGACTCGCAGCCATGGTAAGTGGGCTACTTACCACCCTGGTTTTGTCTTGCTCCCGCTTGGACTTGCAACCATGGTAAGTGGGTTATAACCGTGAGAGATGGATGGGTTCCACAACTACGATGTGAAGCAAATGGCAAATCTTGTCAGAACGCCCTTCAAGGTGGCAAAGGGAGGGTCAAAGGCCCTATGTCACCCACTTTTCACGGTCCACATGCAGCTTGAAACAGGAGGCACGAACCATCCAAGCACAATATAGATCCACGGGGAAGCTCGCCAAAACATGAGACGTTCACAGTAGCGTTCTCATTGCCGTATCATCCAGGCCGTTCCACTTCCCATGATGGAACAATGTCTTCACTTCCAGCCGGTTGTTTATATGTGGCCATGGGTCAAAATCCTGTACCCCCAGTGAACATCCCAATCCCCACTAAAATAGACTAAGATGGGTGGTGCACCTACCCCAAAATGGTACCATTGGTTTTGACCCACAGCCATGTGAGTGAAGGTAAAGCAACAACTCGGTTTGAAGCTTCGGCTTGCCTCAGCTCGTCGTACAGAACATCACTAACATATGTTATTCGGGGTCTGGACCTATGTGCAACCTCAGGTTCGCAGAACTCACTTGCTAGCACCAAACGCACACATGCCAGTCTTCCACCCAACACAGGGTTCGCTCGTTCCCCAACATCACAGCAAAGTCAAGTCAAACGCCAAGCCCAACCAATCCTTGGTACTTGTAGCAAACCACTTGCTTTTTGCAGCCCGGTGTTTCCTTTCGGCCGGAGGGCGCCCTGCAGTGCATCCGCCTGCCGCTCCTCGGAAATGGATGGGGAAATGGATCAGAGGGCAGATTGAGCCATTCGAGGGGTTGATTCCTTCAAGAAGAAAGGGGAACTCCGCCAAAGTGATCTGTTTTTGTTGGAGTTGGTAGGAAACCCAAAAGCAACGAAACCATTTTTCCAGGGGGTCATGATTCTTTTCAAAAACTAGCTGTTTTCCCTTGGTGTCTGGAGGTTTAGAAAGAATGATGCCGGAAAGAATGGGAAAGGCGCCCGTAGAACATCGCTCCATCCGAAAGTGTCTCAGGTAATACTTTGGCCAAAAGGTGAATTTGCAAAACCTAAAAAAGCAAATTATATGGATTTTTCATCAAATGGGAGGGCCAACATGGGTGCTGTTCCTTCGGCTTCGCTGTAAGCAAAAACCAAAAGGGCTACCCTCCAAAAACAAAGCACGCCCCCAACGTGGGCGAACCAAAAGCCGCTCAGTGGTGTGTCAAATTGAAAAACTCCAACAAACTGTGGTTTCACTTTTGAGTTCACTTCAAACCTACCTTTGAGAGGGCACCCTCGAAACACACGTACCCTGCAACGCCCGAAACCCATTGACCTGGGTTCTACCAACATTACACAGATGTTTTCATGTGGGGATTACGATGATCCCAAACAAACAAAAACACGGTAGAACCGTCTAGTCAAAGGAAATGGTGCATTTCTTGTTGGGCGCTTGGTTGGCGCTTGCCACGTCTTCGCGTTCTTCGCCAAAAAAAAAAAAAGGAAAACAAATGTCGCGTCCGAGGCGCCAAAATGGGCAGGGCGAAGCTGGCGAGGGCCAGCTGCAGTACCCCGAAGCCGCGGCTGCGCTGCTGCCCGCTCTTGGCCTTCAACTGCTCCAGCAGCGCCTGTGGATGCTCAGGGTTCAGGGGCATAGGCTTACCCCTTAAAACTCCAAGCCCTGGGGAAGTTAATCTTTTACAGCCATGTTACCCCAAACTTGAAGAGCGGGTGAACGAAAGCTAGCAGTTGTTGCATGAGATGGGTCGGTGACAGAGTGGATTCATAGGTAGCTTGTGTACAACGAGAGGCCCGGCAAGATTCGTAGGATGCGACACGCAAACGCACATGGTGGCGTGGCAAACCTTGAAAAATTAAAGCAACGAGAGGCGTCAGAAGCTGTCTTAAAGCAATTCTGGGTTCTGCATGCAGCGTGTGTTTACCGAGAAGACTGAGGTCTCAAATGAACAAGCTGAATCGGTGGAACATGTAAAAGTTCGTAGCACCAAGTCCAAAACGGGCAAACCGAGACTGCTGAACACTGAGCCACTGCCCGGGGGGGGGGATGGACCAGGGAGGAATCGAGCCTGAGACCCGGGAAGGGGGGGAGGGGGGGGGGGGGTCTAAATAATTGATGTTTTTCAATCTTTTCGGCTCAAATAATTGAAAAAATCAATCTTTCGGCATTTGAGCCCCTTACCTTGCTTACGCAAGGAGAAACTTCAGCTAGCTAAAGCTAGCTTTCGTGACAAGTTGAAAAGTTGTGTTTTTAAGAGGTGAGTAGGTGTCCTTTTGGGAAAAAAACGATGGCCCTGCATGATGAAATAACCAGGTCAACCAGGAATCGCCATCTATTCTCTACCAAAACAACGAAAAAGGACACCTATGTTCAGGGGCTACATGCATAGAATGGCAGTTTTGGGGTCAGAATCGGCATGGCTATGGGAAACTGATGTCAATTGGTCAATTCTTGGGAGGATTTTCTAAGGCCCCCCCGTCTGCCGTTTTGCAGAGGAAGGATCTGTTTTTCTTGAATAGTTTTTGGGCCAACACTGGGCATTCACCTTGTAAAGTGCTGGTTTGCTGCGGCCCTGATCGCGGCCACTCGAACTCGATCGTTGGCGGCCAGCGTGATGAAGGTTTCTGTCATAGGGACCGCTTATTTTCGGCTGGTGAAATGCATGTTGCCGAAACCAAAGCAAAAGGCGGTGTGTGTGTGTGTGTGTGTGTGTCAAACCTGGATGCCAAACCAGCCCTTCCGAACAAGCCTAGGTCCCCTTCGAAACCATCCTCTTGACAAAAAAACGTCCAGGCCCTTAGCAACGGCTGGTCAGTCTCTTTCTGCTCTCCCTTTCAAAGTGCTCAAGAAACAAGTGGCCTGTTTGAGGATATAGCTGCAACTTCGGGGCTTACAACCCACGGTATAATAGATGCTGAAAGCCAGCTGGAGCAATGTGTTTGACAAGTGGCCCTGCTTCTGACTGCTTCGTCCCCGCCTGCAGGACGCGCGCTGTGCGGCACTCCCGGACGATGCTGCACGCGCAAAGGTAGCCTGGGAGCAGAAGCGCGGATGGCGCTTACCTTTCCACTTTCTTTTTGAGGAAAGCCTGAGCACTTGAAGAGGTTCTGCGCGTTGAGCCCAAGACAGTGACCCTGGCCTCTGCCTGCTGCGCGGCCAAAAAAATCCTTCCAGCTACCTCCAGCACTTAGTGCTTGGACTCACTCTAGCCAGCCCCAAGAAACCCGGACTGAGCTACCACGACATGGTTCTGGCCCGCAGCCCCAAACTGCCCCAGGCAAACTGCCCGCGGGACTGCGCGCTCTGAACATGATGGCGTTTGTCAAATCAAACGATGGCATCAAAGAAACGTCTGGAACCTTCACTGCGGGTCCTCCGCGTTCGGCTTGCGGCGGCATCCATCTTTATATATATATATATATGAAAAAACACGGGAAATGTACAGTGTTTTGTGGAAAAGGTAGGTTTTTTTTGGGGGGGCCCTACCATATATATATATATGGTCACCCCCCCCCCCCCAGGGCTTACCTTTCTACTTTTTGCATGACAGAGATTTATTTGCAGATGTTCAGTGTCCACTTGGTTTGCAGATGCCTTGCAGACAGCACTGTAATTTACAGTGTTTTTGTGCAATTTTTGATAGTGTCTCAGATGTGCTTTCTGTACTTGATGCAAAACAGGATTCGAGAAAGCAACAAACACGAAAACGGAAAGCGTTTTCAGAGGCAACTTTGTCAGTAGTGAAATCACTGTTATGTGCAGTGTTTTTTAAGGAAACTGCAAAACAAACTTGTTTTAACGTTTTTGATGGTGTCAGCGTCAAAACCTGCACAGGCTCAACAAATGCAAAAAAACCAAACCTGGAAGCTCCAAAACCTGCACAGGCTCAAAAAATGCAAAACATGCAAAACCCAGATGCAATGTTAGAGGTCAGGGCTTGATTGGTCTGGATTTTTGCATTTTTTGCATTTGTTTGAGCCTGTGCAGGTTTTGGAGCCTTGGGTGCTTAAAACCTGCACAGGCTCCAAAAATGCAAAAAATCCAAACCTGGAAGCTCCAAAACCTGCACAGGCTCAAAAAAATACAAAAAATGCAAACCCAGATGCAAGTCAGAGGTCAGAGCTTGATTGGTCTGGATTTTGCATTTTTTTGAGCCTGTGCAGGTTTTGAGGCTTCCTGGTTTGGATTTTTTTGCATTTTTTTGAGCCTGTGCAGGTTTTGGAGCCTCGGGTGCTTAAAACCTGCACAGGCTCAAAAAAATGCAAAAAATCCAAACCAGGAAGCCTCAACACCTGCACAGGCTCAAAAAAATGCAAAATCAGAGGTCAGGGCTTGATTGGTCTGGATTGTTGTATTTTTTGCATTTTTTTGAGCCTGTGCAGGTTTTGAGGCTTCCTGGTTTGGATTTTTTTGCATTTGTTTGAGCCTGTGCAGGTTTTGGAGCCTTGGGTGCTTAAAACCTGCACAGGCTCAAAAAAATGCAAAAAATCCAAACCAGGAAGCTCCAAAACCTGCACAGGCTCAAAAAATACAAAAAATGCAAAACCCAGATGCAAGTCAGAGGTCAGAGTTTTGCAGTTTTTGCATTTTTGTTGAGCCTGTGGCCAGCTTTGATGCCATTGAGAAACCAAGCCATTGAGGTAATGAGTGCTCTACTGATAAATCAGATGCTTGCAGGACAGCCTTTGATATAACAGTGCAGCAGTGATGACACACACACACAATCATCAACCTTTTAGGACCACATGCCCAAACCACATCAAACAAGGCCTCAAATGAGTGTCCTTTTCTTCCCAAACAATAGTTTCCACTTGCTACGCAATAAGCCTACAGAAGGTTTATAAACTTTCAGAAAAGTTTATAAACCTTATTGAGTGTTTGACGAGTTTCCCGCATCAAGGCAACAACACCCTACGAAGTGTTCATGGTATCGTTAAAGGAGGGGGGGGGGTGGTTGGAAATCTTGGGAGGGGGGGGGGGTGGTTGGTTGGAAGTCTTAGCAGTGAGGTGTGACTCAGCCAACTTTGTAAAGACTTCTCAGTAGCCCCCCCTGCCCTTGTTGCAAGGAAACCGTCAAACCCTTGACATGGTTTATAAACTGTCTTGAAAGTTTATAGACTCTTTGCTGTTGTTACTCAACATGACTTGTCACCCACAAAAAAATATGCAGCAACAGCACACTTCTTGCGTATATATATATATATATATGCTCACACCCCCTGTCCTTAAAAATAAGAGGGTTTTGTACATTTTGAAGTGGAAAGGTAGGCCCTGGGGGGGGGGGGTGAGCATATATATGTACATTGCATCAGTATACTTTGAAACCCTTGGACTACAGCACTAGTTCTGCGCCTAGCTGTGGATGCTCCCACCATGTTTTTTTTTTTTTTTTAAGAAAGGCTCCATTTCTGCCTCGACTCACTCACTCAGAAAACAGGGCACTTCCAAGCAAGAGAATCCGGCTGATACTGGCCGAGGCGCTCAGCGCGAAGCGTTTACAAGCAGCCTCTTGATTCTATCTCTCGCGTGTTACAGGTACCCTAGGCTCCAACATAGGAGGCTTGCGATTGAAGGTGTGCAATTGAGTTCCTAATGCAGCAGAAAACAAAGGAACCCCTTGGAATGCGCCAAATTTTGGCTCTGGGGTTGTGACCCTGGTTGTCTTCCATCTGAGTTGATCCAGCCATGGCACAGCTTTCAGCGATGATCAGAATCGTTACAGAGGTGCTGCGCAGTAGAACCTCAAGCTCCGTTCGCGGGAGACGACGACAAGACGACGAGAGACGTCGAGACAAGCGAAACCCGGCCAAATGAGTGGCCCAACTCAATCGCTTCGCCTCTTGAGGGTTTGTGTGCAAGCCACCTTTAACCAGCTTCCCCCCCCACCCATAAGGAATGAAAAGCAACCTACCTTCAAACCCGCCCCCCCCCCCCCCCAACAACCAGGAATAAAACAGTGGGTCAAAAATGGGTACCCAAAATGGAGCCCTGGTAAATGGATTCCATGACTAAAACCTGCGGTCCGATTCCTGGTGGTTTAATTTTGACCCACCGCCATGTCTTTCGGAAACGACGCCCCTTTTTGAGGTCCTTCCATCCGTTCCTCGCTTCAACCTTTGGGATCCCCGACTCAGCTTCGCCCCCAAAATCTCAGCTCAAATCGGGAAGCTGTTGACCAATCGCAACGCCCGACTTGGAGAAACTAGTTTTGGCCTTTCCAACAAGCGAAATGCGGTTCTGGCTTTGCCCGTCTTGCGACAATTTACCCCAGGGCCTGTCGAGACAGACCCAGCGTGTCACAAATGGAATTCCTCCCCCCCCCCCCCCCCGGCAAACGGTAGTTTCAACTAGGCTGTTTAAGCCAAGGTGAAAAAGGGTACCCAGAGATCCTTTGCTTGACAGCTTTTAGGTGAGGATTCATGTCCACCAAGCACGTGTGGTTGCCTATCAAAATTCATAGTTATGGCATCTGGAAAACACAGTTTTGTTGGTTCGTTCGTTGGTTCGTTCGTTGGTTCGTTGCTTGGTTGCTTGATTGCTTGGTTGCTTGATTGCTTGATCGCGGGATGGATGGATGGGTGGATGGATGGATGGATATGGATATGGATATGGATATGCATATGGATATGGATATGGATATGGATGGATGGATATGTATGGATATGTATGGATATGGATGGATATGGATGGATATGGATGGATATGGATGGATATGGATGGATATGGATGGATATGGATGGATATGGATGGATGGATGGATGGATGTGGATGGATGGATGGATATGGATGGATATGGATGGATATGGATGGATATGGATGGATATGGATGGATATGGATGGATGGATGGATGGATGGATGGATGGATGGATGGATGGATGGATGGATGGATGGATGGATGGATGGATGGATGGATGGATGGACGGATGGACGGATGGACGGATGAACGGATGGACGGATGGATGCATGGATGCATGGATGCATGGATGGAGGGATGGAGGGATGGATTGATTGACTGATTGATCCAATCATTGTTTTAGTGATCGATTGGATTCATTGATTGATTGATTGATTGATTGATTGATTGATTGATTGATTGATTGATTGATTGATTGATTGATTGATTGATTGATTGATTCATTGATTGCTTGCTTGCTTGCTTGCTTGCTTGCTTGCTTGCTTCATTGATTAATTGATTGCTTGCTTGCTTGCTTGCTTGATTTATCGATTGGTCGATTGGTTGATTGGTTGGTTGATTGACTGATTGGTTGGTTGGTTGGTTGGTTGGTTGCTGGGTCGATCGGTTGGTTGGTGGGTCGATCGGTTGGTTGGTGGGTCGATCGGTTGGTTGGTCGGCCGGTCGGTTTGTTGATTGACCGTTTGATTGCTTGCTTGATTGATTGATTGAGTGAGTGAATGAGTTTGTGATTGGTTGCTTGGTTGGTTGCTTGGTGGGTTGGTGGGTTGGTTGGTGGTTGGTTGGTTGGTTGGCTGGCTGGTTGGTTGGTTGGTTGGTTGGCTGGTTGGTTGGTTGGTCGTTTGGTTGGTTGCTTCCTTGCTTGGTCGATTGGTTGGTTGATTGATTGCATGGTTGGTTCCTTGGTTTGTTGATTGGTTGGTGGGTTGATTGATTGCTTGGTTGATTGACTGACTGATTGCTTGGTTGATTGACTGACTGACTGACTGATTGTTTGATTCATTGATTGATTGATTGATAGGCTGATTTGCGCCAGCGCCCCAAACCTTTCTCGGCCGAGCGGCCCCCAATGCAGGCACTGCCAGGCTCTCGCAGGCCTCGCCGAGCAGAGAGGCCATCAGCTGCACCGCAATGCACGCCTCTCGCGGCCATTTGGCTGTTGGGTCCCTGTGGCTTTTTGGGGACCCGGAGTGGGGTGGGGTGGGGTGGGCTGGGGTAGGGTGGGGTGGGTGGGGGTCCCCTCAAAATGGTGGTTTCCTTTTGGTGTCCCTTAACCCCGAAAAAAAAAATCATATGGGACTGCAGTCGCTCTTCTTTTTTTTTGGGGGGGGGAGGACACCCCTTTTTTGGTTGGTTTGAAAAGGACACCAAAAAACGCAAACACCGTTTTGAAAGGTCCCATGAAACAAGACACACCCATTTAGTCGTGGGTAAACAAAAGTTTCGAGCCATTTTCGAAAATGGGTACGGAAACATGGCTATGAGGTCCAGCTCTCACTACAACGTTTACTTGGATGTTCTTTCTGGGAAACTCAACACAGGGATCATGACAGGGTCTTTGCGTAGGGGACCCCCAAACTGGCTTCGGTTTTCCTCTTGGTTTCCTTCTACCACCGGAAAAAAAAAGTAGACCAAAACGTGAGTACTGCGTGTTGCCTTACGCGCAAAGCCAGAAATTGGCGGTTTCATCAAGGCCTGCCTCCCGCACCAAAGCCGAGCGCAGATCTTGAGCCTGGCGAGCTCCGAAAGAAGATTGCAAGAGGAATTCGGCCAGAAGTTGCCATCCTTCCCTCCCTTTTGCCACATGTCGCCGTCCCCTGGAAGAATCTACAGAGTTCAATATTCCAAGCCTTGAAAAAAGGCATCTGTTGAGGACATATATGATAGCAACCTCTCCCCGCCCGGAAAAGTAAGTAGAATGCGTTCTAGTCGACCCCACAGGAGCTCACCATACACGTTCTTTTGAACAAAAACATAGATGAGTTTCCTGGTAAATGGGTGGCGTAGACCCATCTAAACCAGTGTAACTGTATCCCTTCATTTCTATCCAAGCTAACCTAAGGATATGCTCATGGACCTCTGAAACCTCTCAAAGAAGAACCATACAAATCTGGAACCAGAAAAAAAGACCCGAATCCTCAGGGAAAGCGGTCGTCGAAACACACACACACACACAAACAAACAAACCTGAACAAATAAATAATAATAACAAAAACACCCCCTGTCTGAGAGGGGTGATACTTCCAACTCAAGCATTGCCGCGTATGGGTTGAAAAGCCTTTGCACCTGCCCACCTCGAGATCCTTCGGAAGCCTCCGGAAACAGGACAACATGTCACCAAATAGGCCCAAACGAAGAAGCAAAAGGATCATTTTTCTTTGAGTTTGGTAAACTATGTCACCTATGCACATACATCTTTGAGTATGATCAACACACACACACACACACAAACCGATCAAAAGCACACCGACGTCACCACGTCCCTCCGTCCATCGACGTCCATCGTCCCGACGTCCTGGCTGAGCAGCGCGTGGTGCAGCGGCGCGTGGTGCAGCTCTTTCGCAGCCGAAGCGCCTGACCCGCCGAAATGAGCCCCCACCGAAGAAAACCAACCGACCAAGCAAACAAAAACCGATCATCAAACCAACCAACCAACCAAACGACAAACAAACCAACCGAACAGCCAACAGGCAAGCAAACAAGCAACCAACCAAGGAAACAAGGAGCCAACCAAGCAAGCAACCGACCAATCACAAACTCACTCACTCACTCACTCACTCACTCACTCAAGCAAGCAAGCAAGCAAGCAAGCAAGCAAGCAAGCAAGCAAGCAAGCAAGCAAGCAAGCAAGCAAGCAACCAAACAGCCAATCAATTGACTGACTGACTGACTGACTGATTGACTGACTGACTGACTAACTGACTGACTGACTGATTGACTGACTGACTAACTGACAAATGAACAAACAATTAACAAAAAGCAAACCACCAAAGAGCCAAACTCACCAACGTCAACTAACCAACTAACTGACTGACTGGCTGACTAACGAACTGACTGACTGGCAAACAACAAAGCAACAAAGAAACACAGAAACTAACTAATCAAATAAACTTCAACTTCCCTCTTTAAGGGTGGTTTGCATTTGTTTGGAGGTGTTCCGAAAAAAAAAAAAAAAAAAAAAAAAAAAAAAAAAAAAAATGCACCCGCTGCAAGAACCAACCAATGAAACACATAAACCAACAAGTAACAACTAACAATGGTATGAGTCTCAAAATAGCTTTGGGTTTCCCTACATTGCCGAAACAACGAATGACACTGGCCGAATGGACAAATCATGCTGCAGTGATGGCTCCGCCATCCAATGACCAAAGAGATACAACTTAAATGTCATCTTTATATAGTTGGGGCCATCTCGAATCCTTCTCGTTACTCTGGTAAGGGCTTGTGTGTATGAAACCCTTCCAATGCTTAGATTCCATTCTTCAGGGCCTATGGGTCGTTTGACCATGGCACACATTTGCGTCCTGAGACAAAAACGCACATAGGACGGGCCTTAGTCCTTTCTGGGGGCCGCTGTCCTTTTTCGAACAAGTTTGGCTTGCCCCCCAACAATCCATCCAACACTTGGAGAGGCTAGGAATGTGTACAGCAAAGATTCTTGGAACTGGGGGGCATGGAAGACTTCTGGGGGGATGGTTTTTGGTTATATATATATATATGTATATATATACACTGATATATATGTATATATATTCACTACTATAATATATATATATATATGTATATGTTCTTTGATTCAAAGGAAGGCCGCGGCCGCGGAAGCCGCCTTTGGGCTGCCCCAGCAACAGGCCCTGCAGCCTGCGCAGCGCCTTCAGGCGCACCGTCCAGTCCTGACCGAGAAACACTGCGCGAGTGTACCCTCGGAAGTCACCTGGAATGAAATATGTCGCTCTGAACTTGACCCTGTAGTGAAGTAGGGAAGGTCTCTGCTGGGAAGGTCAGATTATTTTTCTTGGTGTAACTTCCATTTCCATTCTTTCCAGGGATCCTTCTTTCTAGCAAACCACCCAAACCCTTGTGGAAATGGCTGGTTTTGGAAAAGAACGATTGCTAACCTAGAATCATGGCAACCGACAGGGGCTCAAGGAAATGAATCTTCCAGGTACCTCCCCACAGGTGCCATGTTAGTTGGAGGAAGGGAATGTCTTTTGAGGGAACCAAAAGGCTTCACAGACCCAAAAGTCTTGGAGTGTCCTTTTGTAGGTTTCTTTAAAGGAACACAAAAGGCAAACCCACGCCATGATTTGAGGTAGCCCTATTTTGAGGTACATACCCGAATGAAAGTTGACATCCCTGCGATTAACTGGTTGGGTCTGAATTTCAAAACCTTTGCTTGGCATCGTTCATGTTACTTCTTTCATCCATGCGTTAAGGTGGTCCTCACCAAAACTCATAGCTATGTCACACCCAAATCTTGCCATGACCAAGGGACAACGCGCAAGGTGAGGCAAGATTGCATGTGGCCCCCAAAAAAGGTGCATTGACAGGTTGAGGCCGGGGAATTGCCTCAAAGGCCTCTGAGATCCTCTGAGTTCAAGCTTTCTCATGCGAGTGCATCAGGGTGAGGGCCTTCAAAGCTAGCCCAATCCAAAGGAGTCATTATATGCTATTGCTCCGATTCGCGCAAGCAATCCTCCAGCACAGGCCGTCGCAAACAATACAATCATGGCAACAGTCAAACAACAACACCATCGTTCGACCACTGATGCTTTGTATTTCTCCTTCCACAAAGGGTCGGGTTTCAGAGCATATTCGCATTCAGTCAGGACTCATGTAAGCCTGCTGACCTCAATCAAACAACCCCGACAACACGCCAAATGGAGCCCGAACTCTTTAGACACTGTGTGCGCAACCAGCTGACATTCAGACCGATTCGATGCTTTGGCTTCCGGGCTTCATTGCACGACGAGGTTGCTCGGCCGTGGCAGCAACCCACATAAACCAAGCGGCGCAATGGGGCACGGGGTTGGGTGGCCAAGCCAAGGTGCGCCCACGTTTCATGCCCTTGTGTTTGGGCGGCATTTCCAACAGTAGGGCTACCTGGGGCCACAAAACATAAAACCAGCCTGATCGAGACGACAGAAGCTTGGGCCTCACTGAAATCACTCGCCAGTGAAAGTGGAATCTAACGCTCACTGAGCGGGTTTGCCGAAAGAAGCTTCCACACTTGGTGTTTGCCACTCAAATTTGGTCCAACCACCCCCCCCCCAAAAAAAAAAACAAGTGACTCAACTCCGAGTCCCGGAACTGAGGCATGCGTCTCACCCAATCCGACCGCCCTCGCTCCCATCCCGAGCGCGCCCGCGCCCGCGCGAGCGCCCCCCCAGAGCTCCTTCGGCTCGGCGAGCTGAGTTCGCACGGCCTCCAACTCTTTGGCCAGCTCCCGGCCTGGCGGCGCCCAACCAACGTGGGATGGTTTTGTGAGTGAAGCCAATGAAAAATGCAAATGTTCACCAGCATGGGTCGAATTTGTGTGTAAAGCCAATGAAAAAGCAGACATGTTCTTCATGGGATGAATTTGTGAGTAACGCCAATGACAAAGACAACACTTTCACCAACGTGAATTAAGATTTGTGTGTAAAGTAATTACAATGTTCACCATGGGTTGGAGCTGCGTCATCGCGAGTTAGAAAGGTGATCTACGAGGGAAGGGAGAGTCGAGGCTGGTAAGGGAGTGCCGGAAGACTGCTGCTACATTTGGAGGTCAACTTTCAAAACGGCCACTTTGGCTTCTGTTAAAAAATATGATTTCGGTGTCAAGCGCCGCATCTGGACCGTGTCGACCATGTCGACATGTCAGCCGCCCTAGAGCATAAAAAAATCACAAAGCCACAAAAGCCAAGGCAGAACACACACTTGTTGTCATTGCAAGGGGCGGTCCCAGTGGCCTTGGCGAGAAAAAACGGGCAACCCGTTTGTTGGTCCTCGATTTTAAAGTGAATCTTGAAAGAAAGGAACAAACGGCACCACTGTGCAGGGTTTTATTTTGGACCACGCCAGGGTGACTTAAACCCGTGGGTGGTTCATTACCCTCAAAAGGGGAACTGGGGGCAAGTCTACCCACTTCCTGAGTGGCTCGGCCGAGAAATCCGTCAGACCTTCTAATTTGCCGCTAAACATGATCCTTCCCCAAAAAGTGACTCAAGCCCAGGAACTCCTCAGGGTGTCAACAAGTGGAACCAAGGGCACCGCGGGTGGTGGTCCCCGACTTCCGGCCTGAGCACTGGATGGGCTCCACATCTTCCCCCGGCTGCAGCTCCGGCGGTGGCTCGCGCGGCATGGAGCAGTCAGTCTGACTGCAGATCCGAGTCAGAAGGGCTGGGCTCTTTCTGCCTGGAGCGGCTGATTTCTTCCATCTCAGAACCGCCAGAAACGAACTGGTGGCTGGCCAGAACGATCTTCCCATGAAACCGGCTGGAGATGGAAGTGAGTGGAGGCGAAGCACAGCTGGGAGCTTCTAACTGGTGCTTGGGGGTCTCTATCCCTCACGCAAGGGGTGTGGCCTGCATGCTTCTGACTTCTGTTGTTGCCGCAAACCGGGCTGCAAGCTTCGCATTGGCAACTTCGAATCAAACTGGCGCATGCCGCCTGTGAGCTGGCAGAGTTGGTCAGACATGAAGCCCATTTTCCCTGCCAAAGCTGAATGCAAGCTGTGCCCATGTCACGCATGCACACACGCGTAACGCAGATCCCTTTTGCACTACCCAGATCGCCAACAAAGAGACCAAAGTGCAAAAATGCCTACAGATGGCAGTGTGTCAAGTACAGGACCCTTCCGAATAAATCGGAGGCCGCTGGCTTCAACGCGTGATCCAACATGGGGCCCCGAACATCAAAGCACCCCGAAGAACGAAGAGCACGATAGAACGGAAAGCGAGGCAGGGGTGAAGCAAACAGCCGATATGCGGTTAAAGCATCGTAGGTGGGCAAGATGATGGATTGAGTTTCATCAGCCGTTATCCTGGCCGTTACCTTCTACAACGAGTCTTTTTTTGGTAAACTCACTTCCTGAGTATATTGGCCAGAAAATGTTCAAACTTTGTTGTTTACTACTCAAACGGTCTTCCCAAAACGTTGAAAGTCCAACAAATGAGGGCGTGAATAAATGTGGCTCTGGACCACCCAAACCAATCTTTTTCGTCGGAGTTTACCGGCAGACGAAGCTTGGCCGGAAGACTCTGGAGTTGCCATAGGCTGTACATGAACGCCCTCCAATAGGAGTACAAGGCAACAGGAGCTGCCTTCCACCAATTCACATGGAACCTGACCCCTTTAAAAGGAACACGGTCCTCCAGGAACGGTTCCTAAATCCCTTGAAATCGATTCAATTTGCAAATCCCGAAAAAGGCAAACGCCCTGAAGAGACACCCAGGTAAGAATTTGGCCCTGTGTGGCAGAAAGTTGCCCCCCTTAAAGCATTCACTCCAGGAAAATCATGGGTGAGCAAGGTTGCAATTTCTCTGCCAGAGCCTTCCAACGGACCTTGGAATGGCGGGTGCCCTGGTTAAGATCCCTCTATCCTTACCAGCTCATGTCTACAGCAGCTCGGTTGCAGTTGACTTCCCTGAGCAAAGTGAAATTGAAGACATGGCTTGGAGACCCTTTTCTCTTGGTCCGCTGAATGATCTCCGGGGGCACGCACAAACCTTTACATGTCTGCACCCCCTGTGCATCGAAGGCCCAACTGGCCTGAGGGGCATCTCACCCCTAAAAGAACAAGGCCTTGTGACCCTTGTTGTCACTGGCCTCGAATCCCATTCGGGTCAAATGGCCTCTCATGACGCCACCCGACAGGACCTTCGTCACCACGTCCGCATCGTTCACCGCTCCAGGCGTCTTCTCCACCCTGAGCGCCTTCTCCGCCACCCGGTCCTGCAGCCACAAGTACCGGGCTTGCACATGCCGCGTCTTCCCGACGCCTCTCCGCTCCGTCATGGCTTTCGCCGCGGAGCTATCCACCAGCATCTTCACCACCGGCACCTTCTCACCCATGTAGAAGGCCATCACGTTCCTCACGAACTCGGCCAAAGTGGCCGTCCGACACATTCCATAGTACTCGCTCTCGCAGCTGCTCAGCGCAACGATCTTCTGTGTCACACCGCGCACCATGAGGGTGTGGCCACCGTTCTTGATCACCGCCCCCGTCACCGACTTCCGTGTCAACGGATCACCAGCCCAATCACTGTCCGACCAAGCTCGGACCTCCATTTCTCTCATAGGCTGCTGCTTGAAGATCTTCTTGAGGTAGGGAACCTTCACCAAGTACCTCGCCACGCGCTTCAGCCGCTGCATGTCCCCTTGCTTCGGCGACCTCATTGCCGAACTCAGCACCTTTACCGCATGCCCCAAATCAGGGCGGTCCTGGCTCAGATAAGCCAGGCGCATCACCATGCTCCTATAGTCCACCGCCTGCTCGGCATCCAGCTCTGGCAGGCGCTCCTCAGCAACTCTCTCGGCGTCCCGCATCTTCTCCTCCGGGATGTCCACGCCCTTGGTCTTCTCATTGAACCCGAAGTAGCGCATCACTATCTCCGCGTGCCTTGCATCCGCCTCCAACTCCAATTTCCACCTCGCCGCATCATCCAGCTTGAAGCGGATCTTCCTGTTCAAGAAGAACATCTCTTTGTCATCTTCCGCGCCCCGGCCAAGCATGGCCTCCAGCCTTGCCGTGTAGCGCGTGTTCAGCACGCCGTCCAACCACTGCAAGTTGGCCCCGTTGCCCTTCACCATGAAGTCGTCCCCATGGACCAGGCCAATCAACCTTCTCTCCGCTATCTTGAAGATTGCGGGGCACAGTGCACAAAACTCTGCACCATGCTCCTTCAACCAGCCGATGTAGTCGCCCTGGAACACCTTGCTGGCATCTTGCGTCCCATACATAGACCTGCGAAGTAGTCCCACCATAGGCTCCGGACTCTCTTCACCATCATCTCCGCACTGGTCCTCCTCCGGCAACTCCACGTACAGTTCTCTTTCCGCACGTCCCATGAAGTGTGCTCGGCTGATGTCCCAGCAAGCCACCTTGGCGTCCGGCTCCTCTGGGTTCTCCGTCATGAACAGGCTCAGGAGCAGGTTCACCGCCTCCAGCGGCGGGGTCGCCGCGAACGTTTCCTCCGCCCGAAGTCGATCTTCAGGCCTTTTTGCCTTTCGCACTTCTTTCGCCACCAATCTGCTCCTGACCTTCACCTGGGTCGCGTCTCCCTTGTTGATGTCCAGCCACTTCAACTGCAAGGGCTTCATGCCCTTCCCTTCACAGATCCTCCTTGGGACCTTCACGTAGACGCCCTCCTTGTGGAGCCAGCCTAGCTCCTCCTTTCGCGCCGCCTTCACCAGGTGTGCCGGCAACTCCGTACCGGTCACATCATCCACAAACTGGCCGAACTCCTCCTTGTAGAGCTCTTCCTGCTCGACGTACTCATCCGGTGTCGGGCCTGACAACTGCTCCTCCACCGCACTGATCTCTCCCCTCTCTCGTAGCTCTTTCCTCAGGCCACGTAGAATTGCCTCCACCAGCTCCTTGGGGTAGACCTGCGCAGCCTTAGCTCGTCCACCTCCCACCAGATGAACATGCCGATGCACTTCTCGACCTTGTAGGACATTCTCACACACGCCCTCCAGCTCTTCTGCGATCCTCCTCGAGTTCGTCAGCCACAAAGTCTCCTTTCTCACATGCAGGATTTCCCCTTCTCGGTCCTCCATCTTCATGCCCCAACGGCACATCGGACTCTGAACCAAGTACGTGTCGTCTCGATTCACCTCCTCTTCCACTTCCGGCATCTTCCATGACGTGGACGGTTTCGGGTGCTCATGGAGATAAAAGGCACCCTGCTCCCGCTGTTGTTTGCAGCACTTCATCGCGGTCCTCATCCTTGCCTTACCAAGCTCCTCCTCCTCTTGCACCACGCCCGGGTCCCTCTTGCCATTGGACACGTTCCTCAGTGGGCTAAACGTAGTGCACGGCGGTGAGCTCGTCAGGAGCCACGGCTCCTCCACCTGAATCATCTCCAGCACCTCCTTCTGATCTTCTGGCCTGTCGAGGTTCCACCTCTCTGACCCATCTGGCTTCATCTCCTCTAGGTCCACCGCCGCTCCGTCACGCATGCCGAACCGCTTCAGCTCCTTTGTCACACGCTGAGGTGAAAACACCTCCAGCACATCCAACGCACCTAGGCTAGCCACTATGCTTGCAGCCTCCTTGCTCCCGGCCTCTGCCAGGATCTCCTCTGCCTCCATCCTTCTCGAGCCTGCCTGGCCGCTCGCATCCTCTTCCATATCTCGCAAGACATCTTCGATGTCCCTTGCTCCTTGCTCTCCTCCTTTCCGCTTTGGCGATGCTTCCCCGGCATCGGGGCCCCGGCTTGAACTTGACGGCTCAGCCTCAGCCCTTGCCTCATCGTTCGCTTCTTCTTCCGCTACTCTCTTCTTCGCCCTTCTCGCAATTTCTCTCTCGTCCTCATCTTTCTGCTTCTTCATCTTCTCCTCATCCTTCTTCACAAACTCTGCAATTCTCCTCTTCATCCTCACTCTGCACTCCTCTGAGTGGCTCACCTGAACCAGCGCGCCACCCGTGTTGATTGAATGGCACCCTTGGCATCCTGGAGTGCTCCCATACTTCTGCATCATCGTTCTCCTCACCGGCCACGCCCGGCCCTTTGCCGAGTGACCTTCTGCCTCTGGGGCTTCTCCCCCCTGATGCTCCTCTGGGCGCTCAACCGGGACCTCTCCTCCAGGTCCGGGAGCTGGGGCCACGAGGACCACCGGGGGCAGCCTCTGACCCTCACCTTCTTTCTGCTGTTGCTGCTGCCGCTCCTCTGGCTGCGGGTTGACATACTTCTTGATGTCCCAGGGCACACCACGTAATCCAGGCTCCAGCCTTGACCACCTCTGATCCTCAGGCACCGTGTGGAAGCCCGTGCCAACCACCACTCCGGCATCCGTCATGGCCAAGATCGACCCAAACCTGTTGTGTGTGCCCAGGCACCTCCCGCTAACCATCCTTGACCAATCTCCTCTCTTTCCGCCTCCAGCAGGTTTGACCATGATCTTCTCGCCGAACTCCGGCATGGCCTTCACCCATCTTTTGCCTGTTCGTCTCTCCTCTGGCGTCCTCCCATCTGCTCCGACCTTGAACCTGCCATGCTGCTCTGCAGAGTACCTCGGGGCCCAATAAGTGATAGGATGCCCTTCAGGAACTCCACCTTCCAACTTCTTGTCCAAGGCCAGGAGATTGGCTTTGCACCTCCATTTGATCTCTTTGACAGCCGCCTCCGCTTCTCCGTTCGACCGTGAATCTCCGGCCGGCGACTCCTCTGGCACCGCCTTGTTCAATCCTCTCGCCTTCTTCGCTGCCTCCATCTTCATCTTCACCAAGCTCCTTTCACCATCGCTTTTGAGGACCACCTCCTTGTAGCCCAAGCTTTCCAGGAACCTGGTCAACATCTTCTGGGCCGTCGCATCCACGAGCCCTTTTCTTTCCATGGAGGTTGCCGTCATCAGCCCGGTCTTCCGGTCCCGAGCTACAATGTTCGGCTTCGCACCTTCGGCCTCGCCCATGTAGAAGTAGTCGAGGCTCACCGTGGACATGTCGGGATTCTCATCGCCATGGTCCACCTTCACGTGCTTCTGGACAAGGCCTGCTGCTTTGACACACATCTCGCACCAGCTCCTGTAGACCGCATGGCCGCTCGCCTCGTGCTCCTTTCTCTCACGCTCGCTTGGCTGCGGCGGCACCCAGCCCGGGTGAGCAGGTCTGGCCTCCACCAACTCCTCAGGACCCTTTTGCTGAGCTCCGATCTCATCCTCCAGAGCCCATACCGTGTTGCGCTCCTCGTCAATTCTCGCTGCCTTGGCTTTGGGCTTGCTCTTCATCAACCCGCTCGCCGAGGCCTGTATCTCCAGTTCCGCCACCTGCTCATCCGCGCTCTCTGGGTCGGGCATCTCCAGGTAGAAGTTGTAGATGCCGTTCTCCTCCACCACCGGGATCATGCCCTTGTCACCGTACAGCTCCAGCGCCTTCTCGTAGGCCTCTTCCAGCGTCTTATAGACAGGATGCTCCACCGGCATGATAGTTCCTCCGCCTTTCCACAGCCAAGTGCTGTGCCCTTTTCCATGCAACCTGCCCGCGCTGATCAGGACCTTGTGCACGTCCGTCGCATTCCCATTCACCATGCGCTTCACGCCGTTCATGTCATAGCCGCCAATCTTCACCGGGCCGTAGTTGTTGATCAGCTCACCCGAGGCGGTCTTGAACGTTCCTTTTCCACCTCCAGTTCCTTCGCGCTTGTACCTCTTCGGGATAGCTGTCACCGAAGCGCCAGTGTCGAAGTTGCACTTCAGCAGGTTGATCTCGCCGCCAAGCTCTCGTCGTTTGATAGCCACCCTTTTCGCAAACGAGGTCGTTGTAGACACCCTCGCCGTTGACGACAGCGCGCAAAGGTCCAGCCCGTTCGCTTCGCCTTCCGGCTCATCTCCCGGCTGCTCCAACGATGCCGCTTCCCGCTTGCCGCCTTTGCCACCTTTCGGACTTGTAGGCGCCGACGATGATGAAGCTCCACCACCCTTCGCCCAGCAATCCTTCTTCATGTGGCCCTTCTTCCCGCAGTTGTTGCAGATGCCATCAAACTTGCCCTTGCCGGCGCTCTGGCTGTTGCTTCGAGACTTCGCGCCTCCTCCTTTTGATCCCTGCTGCGGCTTCGACCAGCAGTCCTTCTTCTTATGGCCTTTCTTGCCACAGTTGTCGCAGTTGCCCTCGAACTTGGCCTTGCCTCCTTTTCCACCTCCTTTCTTGCCCTTCACGAGTGAGGCCAAATTGCCATTGACCGCCCGGACCAGGGAGTCCACATCCATGGGAGCCACGTCACCTGCTGAGGACTTGCTGAAGTCCTTCGAGATTGTCAGCTTGCTCCCCGTCTTCGCCTCCATATAGGTCACCACTTCCTGCTCCATCTCCTCAAAGGTCCGGAACCTCGTGTAGTTCAGCATGAGGTGCTGCTCCATCTCCTTTGGAACTAATTTCTCCAAAGCGTTCATCGCCAGGCTGTCTTGCAACACCTCACGCTTCCCGAACTGATCCTTCTTGCGGTCGTATCTGTTTCTCAATGCCTTCCAACGTTCTAAGGCATTGCCGAGGTTCTCGTATGAGGATCTTTCTGGGCTCGTCAATGCTTGAAGCATTATGCGCTTGCGTCCTCCGGTGCTCGGGTCGAACTTCCTATGCAGGGCCCTCCAAGCTTCCAATCCAGCACCCTTCGGCGCGTTCTCCACCAGGTCGAAGACCGCCCCCTCCGTGGTCGCCCTGAGGATGGTGTAGACCTGTTGGTTCATCTCATCAACCTCATCCCATTGGTCCAGAAGATCTGCTCCTGCCCCGAACTGGTTGTCGATGTCCATCTGCGCGATGGGGTTCTCCTGCTCAGCAGCCCATTCCAGCACCTCACGGGATTTGCCGCCGATCACGCCTGCCACGTAGTCCTCCAGCTTCAAGGCCCAGACCCGGAATCGATCTTCGGCTCCTTCTCCAGGACTTCCGGCAACCGGCTCAATGCTTGCAGCACTTCCGCCGAGCCCCCTGATCCTCCGCCGGCTCCAGCCGTCTGCTGCTCTGCCGCTTGCACCCGATCACGGAGTCCCGCATTCTCCTGAGCCAACTGCGCCATCTGCTGCTGCATCTGCTGCACCACCGCCGTGAGCTCCTGTATCGTCGCCATCGCCCTCTTCAAGGATCAAGCCGACCAACACAAAGAAGCCTCCCTCGTAGGTGAAGATGCCCACCAGCAAGGCCAGGACCCACCTCCAGTGGTTCCACCGCCAAACGGGCTTGCCTCGCTGCCGCAGCTCCTCAAACCTCTGCAGCTGCCGAGCGTCCTCCGACCTCGACTCGGCCGCTCCCCTCTGTGGCCCAGCTGGCCGCTCTCGGGGAACCCCGATCCTCCTCCTGTAGGGCTTGTCCTTGGCCGCGGACTTGCCCCTGGTCGTGCCCGAGAGCTCCGCTACCATGAAGACATGGCTTGGAGACCCTTTTCTCTTGGTCCGCTGAATGATCTCCGGGGGCACGCACAAACCTTTACATGTCTGCAGAAATTCTACTGGAAATTCCACTGGTTCAACCAAAAATAATTAATATGCATAAAGTGAAATTCTAACTCGGAAAATCCACTGGTTCAACCAAAAAGTTCTTATCTCCAAGGATCCAACCAAATATCGGCAACCGGGCCATGTCACTGAATCCGTGTGCTCCCTCTCGCTGAGGCCCCTGACTCGGATCCGACGCCTTCAGCACGTTCTGGTATGCCTGGCCTGCGGCGTCCCATAAAAACCGCGCGATGCGACCAAGGTGTCCTCAACCGGGACTTGTTTTTTCTTGAGGCTACTCTTCTCAGGTTCTTTTTTGGCAAACCATTTAAGGGTCCCCCTTATTTTGGCCAAAAAGAAGAAGGAACTGGGCTCTGTCTCCTTCGGAAGGCCCCCCCAGAAAGGAGTGAGGGCTTGACGACCCAGTTCAGCTCGCGAGAAAAGGCAAGATGCAAGCTGTGACTCGGCAGGAGTTGCCTTTTGACCCGTGTCTCTAGCTAACAACTCCCGAAAACATATTTCTACTCGAGGCTTGCATGTTGAAACCTTTTCAGGGTCAAATGGTAAATCCTTGTGCCTGGTAAAGTCGTGCAAAAAAAACCCACTGAAGGATCCATCAACATTGCCCTGTGCACGGGGTTGCTTGTTTTGGACCCCAAACAATTGTTGGGGCGAATCGCAGAAGGCAAATCGATGGAATGCGTAACGTTTTCGGCAATGCGCTCAGGTATCCAAAAGAAGGTTTGCCCCAAGGAACCACACATTGCCAATGTTTCCCAATTGTCTACCTTGAGGTGGTCGAACTTACAGCCTTGACGCCTGGAGCAACCTTTCCTTTCATAAGAAAACCTGTCTGGCCAGCTGTGCCTTAATCCGAGCAAGTTGCAGCCCCTGAACCCCACAGCTACCAAACAACCTTTTGCTGGGCTTCGCTGATATGGCGCCTTCACCACAGTTGTTAATCGTGTCTTATTGCTGGGCACGTTGCATGACTCATGGATTGTTGGTGGATGGGGCATTCAGTGGTGCGACAAAAGGTTTGGGGCCGCCCTCCAAGTGCACTTTTCGCTTCCTCAGATTGTTTCTTCCATCTGCAGTTTTTAGTACAATATGTCCAAAACCTGAAAGGGATCCCCAAGCAAAAGATCCTGTTTTATGGCGAG